TTCCGGCACATGAGTGAGGTAGAGCTCTTAGAAGGTCTGGCCGAATATCCAGGTGGAGTCGAACTCGGGTTCGGCGAAACCTGGAGGTTGCGAACAAGGAAAGATCCGCACGAACGGGCTTCTGCGCGGACTGGGGGTTCCACTTGGTAGAGTCGCACGAAGGGGAAGATCCGTCTAGAAGGCTTAGTCGAAGCCTTGCGCGGGGTCGGAGGGAAGATCCGCACGCGGGAAGAGAGTTTCCGCTCCTTTCTCCTGCTCTCCGTCACTCTCTCTATCGCTCGCTCTCTCTGGATTGCCGAAATGAAAAGGGGAGCCGAGAGCCGTCCTCTTCTCAATCATCTCCGCGATCTCTCTGCTGTAGCCGCCCGCGGGAATCGAAATTTGACGAGTAACTAACGGCCGCAAAATTTGAAAATCAAGCAAATCTTAGCCGTTGATTTCAATTTCGGATTTGACTATTTGATTTAGCCTAAATCAATCAATTTGGGCTGAAATTGAGTCCAAACTGGACTCGACTCAAACCGATTTGGGTCGATTTGGGTCCGAGTGGGTCCGATCAAGTTGATTTTACGAAATTAACCTTGAATCGAAGCCGAATCGTGTCGAAATGCGTCGAATTGAGCTTGACGACGCTCGACGGAGTTTGATTGGTTTTGATTGGATTTTGATTAAATTAAATTGATTTAATTTAATTAAATTGAGAATTAATTTGAGTCAATTTAGCCTCGACGACAATCAATTGAGTCGATCGAGAGCGATCGAGCTTTTGTCGGGGTCGAGTCGATGCGAATATATTCGTCAACAGTGTTCTTGATACGCTAGTGGAATTGATAGCAACCATCTAATCAGTAAACATGTTCGATGTCAATAGTTAAATTGATTATTTGTCTTGATCGGTCAATGAATTAGGAAACATTTTAAATTTGTTTTGAGGTTATCTCTTAAGGCATTGACTTTAATTTTTAGAGATGTTTTTATATAATTATCCCTATGGGTATATTTTCCCTATTACTAAGATCTTAGAGCATATTCGTATGAATGGACTAAAATTTTCCAGTTCATTCTCCCACCACAGTCTCTCTCACTATCTCACCTTTAGCTCCTTCCACATAATTGCCTAAAGCTCCCATCAGTAACTATCATCTTAGGTTTTTCCGAGAACTCGCAATCCAACTCCACTATAACCTCACATAGTCATGAACACAACAACGCATTTATTTCTCCCCAATACATTGTTAAATATCATCATATTATTTTGGATCCAAAAATTGTACAATCCAAATACGCATAATGGGCTACAAACAAATCAGAACAACCAACAACTATAAAAGTCTATCAAAGAAGAAGGAATAAACATATGCCACAACTCTCAAATGATAAAAACATTATTTTGGCAAAATAAATAAAATGGGTCCACATGTATAATATTAATATAGCATTAGTCTTGTATTTTCTTTTATTTGCTTTAGGTAAACTGGGTTTGTATTAACTTGTTGTCTACCTAAACATTATTAATATCTCTCTAGCTATAAACAAAAGGATTATGGAATTAAATTTATGGTTTCACTCTTCTTCTCATATCTATTCTCTTTCTTTGGGAGTTCACACCTACTCTAAAGATGTCTAATCTTCTTGATCCTTCAAGAAGCTTAACAAATGGTACTCTTGTTGCACTAACCTCAGCTTCCCTCTCCTGTTCCTGCCGACCAGTTTTTTTTCTTTTCTCCTCCAGCTTGCTCTGCCGCAGCCTCCATCTCTTCTTCCACTCAACCGCTGCAGCAACCACTATCGTCTACCCAGCAGCTATTGACATCCTCCAGTCCGCAGCATCCTAGCAGCAGCCCAAAATCACCTTCCAGTCAGCTGCAGCCCCATTCCAGACGCACTTCTTCCGCCAGATTGGACACAGATCTTCGGTTGCTCAGAATTCTGTCCCAGAACTTCACAGCAGCTTCCCACCTATTATAGTTGTTATTTCAGACAACTCAACCACCGGATTGCAACCACTATTTTCAAGAAATGGCTTCTTGCAGCTGCTATGCTTTTCCCTTCCAGCAGCAACCTATTTCAAACAACCAACAACACCAATGTTCATAGTTCGACCGCTGAAGGGACACTTCCTTTTTAGTCCATTACTGCTATTTGATAGCTAACATTAGGTTCTCTGTTTTTATTTTACATATTTTTAGCTAACATCTTGTTCTCTGTTTTTATTTTACTTATTTTTATTATTTTCTTTCTTCTTTTTCCAATTTCAATTTTCTACTAGTTCTTCCTCTCTTTTCACAATTGCAAGGTTTTTGGCACCATCTTTTTATCTTATTCCATTAATTTCACACTATGAAAACACCGATCTAGCAGAAGCCCTATGCACCATGCAAGCCAACCAGGACTTAACAATTTTCAAAAATAAAAAAATCACTCCGATCAGCTGATCTCCAATTTCCATCCATTTGCACGTCTCTCCAACAATTCCATACTTCATGGACTATGTTGACAAACGCCTTGACACCCTATATATCGACTGATCTCACTTCTTATCCCATCAAGATTCATGATATTCACCTAGTATTATGGGATCAGGCAACCATATTCCTTCTCATAGCCCAACCCCACCTCCTACGAATTTTTCTTCTCTTTAAACCATGAAAATTGAACTTTCTGATTTTAATAGGATAGACGTAGAAACTTGAATCTTTAAGGCACTTGTATATTTTGATTTTCATAATGCATTCGAATGTCATCGTGCTCGCATTACGTCTTTTCACCTAGGTCTAGCAACTATTTGGTACCAATGGCTGTGTATAAAAGGTCAATTATTCTCTTGGCCCAACTTTAACCTTTCCTTACAATAGCGATTTGGTATCTCCATGTAAAAAAATTTACATGGGAATCATTTTAAACTAACTCAACAAAGTTTTGTCCTAGAACATAAAACAAAATTCAAAAACCTTGCTTTTGAAGCACCTACTTTGTCTGAACATAAAACAAAATTCAGAACTTACTTCAATCACAAAATCGAATGAAAACCACAGTCCATCATAACCGTAGGGATTTGCACTTTTCAATAGGAGATCTAGTTATTCTCAAATTACAACCATTTTGGTAAAATTCTATCATTAATCGTACCCATTTTAAACTCACTAAGAGATGTTTTGGCCCTTCTATAATTTAATATGTGCTTAGCCCAGTAGCCTATCGCCTACAACTATCTCTCGGAAGGAAAGTTCATCCGATTTTTCATCTCTCTTATGAAGCCTTTTAAAGGTTTCCCTTCATTAACTCCTTTCCCACTACCAAGTTTCAGTTATAAAAACCAACCTCTTCTTTTATCATATGTTATTATAGCATCACGCATTATACAACTTTGCGGTCAACCCCACCGATAGGTCCTATTACAATGTAAATTAAATTTACCTGATGATGCCATTGGGAAAACTTTTTTGCACTTCCCTCCTCTTTACTTCTTTCAACCTTGAGGACATGGTTATTTTCCAAGGAAATGGGAGTATTAAATATCAGCATATTATTTTGTATCTGGAAATTGTACAATCCAAACATGTAAAATGGGCTACAAACAAAACGGAACAACCAACAACTACAAAAATCTACCAAAGAAGAAGAAATAAACCTATGCCACAACTCCCAAATGATAACAACATTGTTTTAGCAAAATAAATAATATAGCATTAGTCTAGTAGTTTTTTTTTATTTGCTTTAGGTAGACCTAACTTGTTGGCCCATCTAAACATTATAAATATCTCTCTAGTTGTAAACAAAAGGATTATAGAATAAAATTTCTGGTTTCCCTCTTCTTCTCATCTCTTCTCTTTCTTTGGAAGTTCACACCTACTATAAAGGTGCCTAATCTTCTTGATCCTTCAATAAGATAACAAACACCTAGACAAATCCACCACGAGCTCAACAAACTAATTTTTCCTGTCAACAGCAGCCTGTAATCCCCTTCAATCATTCCAACACACACAAAAGGGTGAAATATGCATTTACAGTAGAGAAATCAAGACAAGGAGAAATAATGACAGTGCAGAAATAAAGATAACGAGATAATGATGGAAAAAGAACGGTAGAAGAAAATTTTGAGGATCTTAAAAGTTTAAGAGAGAGAAAAATGTCCTTGATAGCTACCATAACACTGATTATTTTAGCACACAATTTTGCAATTTATATAAAATATTTTATTCGCCATCATAAAGAAAGAAATGACTAGGAGAGATAAAACGGGAAATTTACAGATATGTTCATTAAGTATAAGTAGCATCCAGGTCCATGTTTTGAAACTCCAAAGGTAACATTCCGCACCTAATAAGCAGCTAGGCAACCCTTTTTTAAATTCTGCAATTAACTTTCTGCAGTGAGATGTTAAAATCTCAAAGTTGACCATAAAATTTTAGTCCTGTCTGGTACAATATAATTTGTCACCTGAAATTATATGCTAGTAATCTACACTTAAACTCATGTTCGTCCACTTTTCTAAATAGAACAGCTATTCCTAATTATATCTCATTTCAGCTTTGTAAGCCATTTTCTTTTGTGACAGATGTCTCTAGAATAAAATTTTGGATTTTCCGAATTAAGTGATGATAAAAATAAAAAGATTCATTTATTATGAATGAAAAAAATAATAATATCAGCAAATGTGATGGGGACTGTCAAAAGAACTTGTTTGCTCCCTCTGAAAGTAAGGCACTTTCCTGGAAAGCTTCAAATATGAGTAACCTCATATATCTCACGTCAAAAAAGGAACAAAAGTTTCCCTAGAGAAAATCTCGATGACAGAAATTTAGAAACCAGAAAGGCAATAATGATACATCTCTCTTTGTAGAAAAGACGCCCTACAAGCAACTTTAGATTAGTAAGAATGAAGATAACAACATTCAAAACAATTAAATCATTAAATCATCCCGAGTTTGATATTCTAGAAACAATTAATATAACTAACGCTGTAGTCCCTTAACATGCAAGAAAAATAATAAACATACCCAACTCTTCATGGTGCTCCACAACATTGCGTGCTAGGCGTTCTGCTATTTTATCAAGTTGGGCTAACCTAAGAGTGGCCTGCAAGAAGTGAGGTAGAGAAAATAACAAGCATAATTGGAGTCAAATTTCCATATTATTCCACAAGGGAAGCATAAAATATATTTTAAAGGGAACTATTCAAAATACTACTACTACAACAACAACACCAGTTCTTTATCTCATTACGTGAGGTCGGCTACATGAATCTATTTTTTAATTGTATAATGTTAAAAGTCACACAACAAGCTCAATGTATTCCTCAACTTCAACAATCCAACTTGAATCTTGCTAGTAATATCCCCATCTATCTCATTATTATTGTGAACAATAGACCCTATATATCTAAAATGTGTACTCTTTTTAATGACTTGATCACCCAATGTCATAATTTCCACACTAGATCTATTAATACTAAAGTTACACTTCATGTATTTGGTTTTAAATCTACTCAAGCAAACATTTAGACTCTGAGGCGTAATAATTCAAGTTTTCCTTCAACTCCCTCTCTAGTCTTATCAACAAGAAGAATATCATAAACAAAAAGCATACTCCAAGGTACATCCCCTTGCAAATGTCTAGTAAGAACATCCATAAACAAAGCAAAAATATATGTGATTAAAGCTTATCCTTGATGTAATCCAACTAAAGTAAGAAAATACTTGGTCAAACTACCTTGTGTTTGAACATAAGTAGCAGCTCATGCATACATATCCTTACTGACCTGAATATAAGCACTATGAACACCTTTCTTTTCTAGAATTCTCCATAGCACTTCTCTTGGAACTTTATCATATGCCTTCTCTAAATCAATAAATATTACATGTAGATCTTCCTCATTGGCTCATTATCTCTATACTTCCCCATAAAACCTCTAAATAAATGTATACCTTCCATAGTAGACCCACTTGGAATGAATCCAAATTGTGTGAAAAATTTGTATCATGTAACTTATGCTCAATAACTCTCCCCCATAGTTTTAGTGTATGACACATTAGCTTAGTTCCTATATAATTCACACACTCTTATGCATCACCTATATTCTTAAAAATATGAATCAACGCACTCTTTTTCCACTCATCTGACATCATTTTAGTCTTCAAAATAATATTAAAATTTTCTTAAGCTAAGAAATCCATTTATCTCTTAAGCATTTTCACACCTCTACTGAAATATCATCAGGTCCAATAGCTTTTCAACAATTGATTTTTATTAAAGCCTCTCTAACTTCAATTTTACTAATATGATACAACATACAACAACTTCAAGCCTTTTTTCCACTTCGTGGGGTCGGCTACATGAATCATTTTTCTCCATTCATAATTAAAAAAAAAAAAATCTTTATTTTTATTTAGTGTATTAAGGTCATTAAAGTCAATCGTATTCTCACAATCGTTATTGAAAAGCTTATCGAAATATCTCATCCACCTATGTTGAATATCTACTTCCAATAAGAGTACTTTTTCTTCGTCTTTAATGCACTTTACTTGAACTAAATCCTTAATTTTTTTATCTCTTTGCTTGGCAAAATTATATATACATCTTTCACCTTTCTTAGTATATAATCTATTATATAAATCAAGAAAAGCTAAATTCTTTTCATCACATACTTCTTTCTTAGACTCCTTACAGACCCCTTTATATCTTTCCCAATTTTTTTATTTTTTATATCTAAATCAATTTTTATAATAAAGCTCCTTATACTTTATCTTTTTTTTTCATATTTTGATTCTACCACCGACTATTTTTACTATCAATGATTTTTTTTCTTTTGATACTTCGAACACATACTTTGTAAAATTCTTAATAATATTAGTTATTTTTTACCCTATAACATTAGCTTTCTGATGCATAATCAAAATCTTCAAATCTTGAATTTTACTCTCAAAAATATTTTTGTTAGTATTCTTTAAATACCTACATTTAACCCTAGGACAACATTTTACTTTATTATTCAAATTATGATCCTTCATCTTAAAGTCCAAAACTAATAAATAATGATATATACATAAACTTTACATTCGGAATGATTGTATAATCTTTGCAATCTAAAAGATCTGTTTTTCTTATTAAAAACAAAAATCAAAGTTTTACTATATCAATTGTTATAAGTGATGACATGATCATCTCTTTTTTTAAATAAGGCATTAACAATTACAAAATTATAAGCTAGAGCAAAATCTAATATAGTTCTACCACCCTTATTAATCATTTTAAATCCATAGCCACCATAAACATTTTTAAAATCTTCTACATTCTACCAACATAACCATTTAAATTTCCTCCAATAAAACTTATTTCTTCAAGAGGTATCCTTTGTATTAATTCATCTAAGTTATTTTAATATTTAATTTTGAACACAAATCTAAATATATTTAAGGCGAATAAGCATTTATAATATTAATAATCATACAATCAAGAGCAATCTTTAAAAATATAATTTTATCTCCAATTCTATTAATTTTAAAATACAACAAAAAAAAATCAAAAAAATTGTGCACCAAAGAAAAAGTGATTATAAAGAATAGCACTTGAGAGTTACATGATTGCAAAGCTTGTTGAACAATTAACACATCAAGTGAAAAAAAAAATGTAGTAGCACTTTCTAAATTAAGAGGATATCACCAATAAATGGCTGCAACACCACATTAACAACAAGCAAGTGATGACATTGCATTTCATATAGCTCCCCTTATTATTCAAATATATCTCTTTATTTGTTTGGATGAATCATACATTTTAGAGGAAAAAGGATTACAAAGACAAGATGGGTGAACCTTCTTCTCAAAATACACAGTGTCACTCTCTCCAGACTGAATGTGCTCCAAAATATACTTAACGGGATCAAAGTCCTGCAACCAAAATATACAAACTTAGATTGAGAAATATTAACATAGTTAATTTACATTTAGTCATGCATATTAAAAGATATAGTAAATTATTTCATTTGATTCAGTATAAAATTAGTAAATCCCAAGTAAAGAGACCCTAACTTTCCTAATACAAAGAGAAAGCATGCAATAATAACTGTGAATTATGCATCAATTAAAAACATAAGCCATTCTTAATTGGACACAAAAGATGTGCAAGCCTAATAAGTTGATAAAAAGGATAAATTAAGTGAATCCTAAATATTATAACCAATTTTAAATTTATTAAATACCTAGAATACAATAAACAATTTGCCAAAAGAACATGTTAAACAATAAGCATGCAATAACAACTAAGAGTCAGTGAACCTAACAAGAGAACTAACGGTGGACAGTGGTCGAATAATAACAGCTTCATAATTATCATGGCGCCTTTCGATAAGTGAAACCCTTGTAAGAACAAGTTGACGAGATACAGAATCTTCTTGCTGACCAAGGCCTCCCTTGGGTCCAATACCAATACTTAAGCCCATGACATTATGAAGTTGCATCTGCAAATAGACCCTTCCACAAGGAGAATCTATGCGGTGACCAGGCATGGTCAACCTCGGCAACAAGGGAACAAGGTATTATCCCTCAGCCTGAATTACATCTCGTATAGCTGCAAGTAAGCTATCTCGTGATGTGCTTGCATAAACATGAATTGGGCAACCATCACTAAATTCCACGGAAAATAACAACTAAGAGTAATGCATAGAAAACAAAGCTAAATTTTCTCTAAAATATAAACATGCATTAGAAGCCATCAAAGTGAGCAAGCATGAGTTCCAAGGTAGGACCCAATAATGTGCTAATAGAAATAAGGATAGTTCAAGCAAAGTTTCGGAGACTAGCAAAACCTCCTCATAGAACTCCTCTTCAAGCACCTCAAGGGTTTGATCCTTACTACCATATAGGAAAGTAATATCCTCAGAATTTGATGTGAGGGCAATCCTTTCATGTGGGGGAAGCCCTGCAAGAGCTCGAGCTGCAGCAGCAGCTGCAGCTACCCTTTCAGGAACCTGCATCAATAGAAACAAAAATTAAGTTGAGAATTGATCTTTCTCTGAATCGTGCACAACAGGCCAAGCTAACCCACTAATAAATATAAGTTAATAAAAAGAACAAACATAAATAAAAGAATATGATAATTTAAATTTAAGTAAGGCCACGAACAATTCAACATCAGTTAGGAGTACAGGAGAAGAGAAAGAAAAACAATAATTTACAGATGAAATGCTAAATAAGATTGATGGAAAAAATATCCTTATCCAGGCCAATAACATTTGAGTGAAACTAAGAATGGAAAGGAGTTAAAATCTGTGCAAAAACTACATGAGAATTAAAGCAAAAGGATATTATAATCAATTGCAATATCATTCACAGTAACCAGAGGGATAGTAAAATTATTTCCAAAAATTACACTCCCTGAGCCACAACAAAATAATCATGCATAAAATTGCAGCGATGAGAAGAAAATTTTCTTGGCATTTGAATTAGATACTGCATATTTTTTTATGAGAACTTAAGTGCCATTTGGAGGAATGTTTACTTGAAAATACTCCATATTAGTAAGGAGTACACATAGATAAAATTTGGAGATTGAAAGCACATTCAGAAAAATTGTTATTCCACAAAAAAAGAGATTTTTGCATTGCCTGGCAAGTGAACACCACTTCTTTATGCATTCCTGCCCTTCTAGCTACCAAATTCCAGTGTGCCTAACCTCATGCTTCCTCAAGAATATAAAGATGCATCAAAAAGTGCCGAAACAACAATCTGATTTTATTCTCTTTGACTTATTTTTAATCCAATGGTTATACAAAATGCAGCAATGCTCTTTTCCTCTGGTTAAATTGTATCTATTCTATGAAACAGCATTATACAATATGTATTCTATGATACATATTCATTCTCTTAAAAATCTTATGAACAACTGAGAACTCACTGCTTTTATTCATTATATCAATGTTAAGTTAAGATTGCAGGAAAACAAAACACCAAATCATCAACTTATTACTGATGAATTAAGAGGCATGGACATTTATGGCTACTATATACATTCTGCAAAACAAATTACTACAGTTGTAGACACTTAACATAAATATGGATCAATATTTTTTTATTCAACAACATATTGTATGAAGGACTTGCACTACTTCAAGTCAACCCATCATGACTTTAGTTGACAAATGCATTAGCATTTTAATATTTGATGGTGAATACATAAGTCATTCAACCACAAATAAAAGCAGTAGCTTTCGGTAATGATATTTTATTCATTGAGCATTCAAGGATACCAACAAATAAAGATTGTTTCACACTAACATAACAAAACCAAAGGCTTTTTTTTTCCCTAACACCAAGATCTCTGTTGAGTACAAGCAAAAAACCATCATTTAACAAAAAGTTCACATAAAATCAACACTCCTGTCCCAGCAATGCTGCAATTATTTAAATGTTAGAAGTTGCAGGTCATGTTATCTGACAGCACTAGCAAATATTCCATAAGGAAAAGTGAAGAAGATCATTTGAGGTCAGTAACACAAACACGAAGCTCATTATGTAAGCAGGCTACACTATCCTAGATCAATGTACTGCAGATCTGTTCAAGTACATTAGAAGCAAAGTAGGAAGCTAAGAGCCTCAACCAGGAAGAATGTTAATCTTGAGGGCTGCAACATCGGAATAACCGAGTTCGGTCACCCACGTTTTGATATCTCTAACAACACAGCCGTGACACTGCCATCTGTCAACAATATAGGTGTGCAACCGGAATCAGAAATTATTTGTGCATTTTTCATTAACGAAAACAAAAAATAAATGATCTTTCTCCTTCCTTCGGTCACTAACTCTTTGCAAAAGCACTAAAAGAATAAACACTCAACCCCGAGCTCGTTATGCATTAAATTCAACACAGAACTCAGAGCCGAGATTATGATCCTACTCGCCCCATAAACCCAATTTCCAACAAATATCATCGACTTAGAAAAATTAGAAAACGTAGACACACAGAAGAAAAGCATTGAAGATGAACCTCAGGGCGATCGGACGTAGATGGGAGGAGGCCAAGTGAGCGAGCAGAACGGACGGAGCTGAAGATTTTCTCACCAACCCTAGAAAGATCCATACCGCCGCCTTGAAGTAAAAGCAGTGGAAGGAATAACAACGGCCCTGGGGGCTCTAGCTCATGAACAGATCGGCCACCGACCCACGACGATTCCCGCTGCATCGCTTAGCTACCGAGCACAGCAATGACGACATCGGCCATCTGACGGGATCTTCAGAGCTCTGGCGCGCAGCGAACGCGGCCCTAGACCAAGACCGAATCGGAATCGAAACTCCAGCGAGAAAGCGTTCGCAGATGATGAGCGTTGCAGAAATCCAATTCTGGTAGGAAGTGACCGGAAAATAAGTTTGGAGCTTAAGCCTGGTCCAAGATCACTGGCTCCACTACGATGATTTAGATTTTATTTAGGAGGGTTTTTTACTGTTTTTTAAAAAAATTAGTAAAAAAATTAAATTTTTATATTAAAAATTTATTTCACGAAGCAATAAAAAAATCATTCCAAATGAAGTCTTAATTTTTATTTAGGATAATTTTCTTATTATTTCTTAGTAACTTTTTAGTTATTTTTTTAAACAAAATTTATTAATAAGCAGTAGGAAAGCCTTCCTAAATAAAATATTAGTTTACATATATGATATTATGGTTATTTTTTATTTCTCTCTCATATTTTAAATTCTCTTATTTTTTATTTAATAAAAATAAAATCATTTAATAGTTCCATCAATTTGATAAAAAAGAAGCCTAGGAATAAAATTTTATCATCTATTACATGCTAAAATATTCAAGATAGTAGAGAAAAAGAATTGAATATTCTATTAGCAAACCTCATTTAGGAGGATAAAAGGTTATTGTTGTTGTTGATATTGTTATTATGTCATGTGAAGATTCTAGAGTTGCAATAGGTGTTAAAGTTTCTAAGTTTAAAATTAGAAAAGTGAAAAAATCACAAAGTTAAGACCTAGTTGAAATGATCATATCAATGATATTGTCGATTATAAAGCATTGTCTTTCGTGTAATTGGAAAAAGGCCGGGGTGGAATCAGCCTTTCATTTCAGGATGTGCAAATTTTGCTTATGAATAAACTAATATTTATAAAAATAAAATAAGAACATAATTCAAAGCAAAATCATTATGATTGATAAATTAAAAATTATTGCAAGCTTAATAGTATATTTTGTATTTTCTGATAAAGTTGCATTATAACTTCATTGGAAATCAAATCAAATACATCATTTTCAAAATAAGGCACCAGACAGGCGTTGAGCCAATCATCACTCATCCTTTACATAGTCGATGTATGACAATCCTCATTATATAAAATGCTCTCTTTATTGTAGTAGTAACAATTGGTAATATAAATGCTAAAATAATGAGCTGTAAACTAGAGGATACACATCATCTTTCTTGAACTTAACAACTTGCTTTGAAAGATTAGCAATGCCGTTAAGATATGAGAACTCAACGTTGGTACATATATCAATAATATAAGTTGATAATTGACTTTTAAGAGTCATAAGATCAATTGTAGAACCAATTTTTGGATATAACTCTACTAAACGTATCAATTTTCTCTCATCATAAGCTTAGAATGTATCATTTGGGTTTAGGCATTTCACACAAAAAAGTAACTCAGTGCTAGATTTAGACAAACAATTATTTATCTCTTAAAGTTACATGTCAACTACAATATAGAATAGCTCAACACGATAATGTTGTTATTTCTTCACCTCTTTGTACTATTCGACAATGAGTTTTGTATGTTTCATTTATCTTTGGAACATTAACTTCAAAAATACTACAAAAATGATAAACTTCATCTAGTATAACAGTTAATCAAGTCGTCCTTAGTAGATGTAGTCGATGTTTAGATATTTATACCAATTTCATTGCATTTTCAACATCTTGATCTTTTCTTTGTAGCGATTGTGATAACTTATTGTAATCCCCAAGATATCAAATATCAAATACATAATAAAAATGAGATCAAAAGATTCCATCACATCAATTAAAGTGCATGCTTCAATTGATTGTTGATTATGTAATCCTTTTTCTTTAAAGATCTCGAGCACCTCGATTACTAAAGAATACATTCTCATAAGACTAATTAAAGTATGAAAATGTGAACTCCATCACATATCACAAGACCTTTATAAATTAGTCTCTTGATTTAAATATCTATCGCTTATTAGATTGTGAGCTTTAAGATGTGAAAGAATTTTTTTATGCTGAATTTCTTTCATAGCATGTGATCTTTTACAAGAAGCTCCAACAATATTTATAATTTTTTAAGTAAACTTAAGAAGATGTTTCACTTGCCAATGATTCTTCGCAACAGCTATTAAGCATAATTATAGTTGATGGGAAAAAAAGTGAATATAAAAAGCTTGAGGATTATCATTAAGAATGAGTGATTTTAAACCATTAAATTACCCATGCATATTATATACTGAAAGTACAAGATGCGCTAAGAGGGCGGTGAATTGGATATTTAAAAACTTCTTTAAGGAAAAGAAAAAAAAAATTATAACTTGATGCGGAAGCAAGTTACAATCACAATAAAAAGATAAATTATCAATTTCACCAACGCAATTAATCGTAATAAAAATGAATGCGGAAATAAAGTGTGGAAATAATAAAGGAAAGAACACACCGATTTATAGTGGTTCAATCAAATCATGACCTACGTCCACTCCACGGAGTCACCCTCTGAGTATAACACTAAACCTTTAGTGATTCTTCTTTAGCCCCCACAGCTAGGCGGAGAAGCCCTTACAAAATCACTTCCACCTTTCCCGGTGCGGTAGAGGAGTCGGGTCCTTTGACACCAAAGAGATCTTTTTCTTCCCAAAACTTCCCTCAAGATGAACCTTGAATCCGATGGTACTGAGGTGCAAGCTCGCCGGAGCAACCGTGTGAAACCTCCTTCACACTCCCTTGAAACTCCTCCAATTCTCTCTCAAACTCCACCCTTTCCTCTCTCCCTTTCAAGTTCTCTTTTCATGTTTTCTCTAAAAAAATTGAAGCTTCAATGGATGTCAAAAACTCTTACAAATTCTTATGAGAGTGCTTAAATAGAGGGCTCAAAAAATCCTAAAAAACTAAATTCAGCTGTCAAAGATCGTACAGTACGATCTTATGATCGTCCACTACGATGTGCAAAAATTGACCTGTTAGTACTGTACGATCACTAGTTAGTACTGTACGAACAGTTCAATGAAAATGCAATACGATCACCAGTTAGTACTGTACGAACAGTTCAATGAAAATGCAATACGATCACCAGTTAGTACTATAAGAACAGTTCAATTTGTCTGTTCGTACTATACAATGTTCAGTTAGTACTGTACGAATAGTTCAATAAAAATATAGTTCGTCCAGGACGAAGCATGAGATGGCCAAAGTTCTCTATTGATCGTACAATACGATCCAATTTATATAGTACGATTAAAATATCAAAATTAAGTTATTTTGATTGACTAATCACAGGATTAAATTAGGCAATATTTAAACCATCATACAATACGATCATGTTCATATAGTATGATTAGAACAACTTTTCAAATTCAAATTTTTTTCTTAATTTAATGAATGGCAGGCTTTCTAATTATAATAGATCGTCTAGTACGATGTGGTGATCGTACTGTATTATTAGTTATATTTAAAAAAATATTTTTTTTAAGAAAACTAAAATATTTTAATTAATTTTTATTATACCAGATCATATAGTACGATCCAAATCGTACAATACAATTTACAGAAAAATTAAAATATTTAAAAATATTTTTTTTACCCCCCATGTGAGTGTGCACGGACATCAATCTAACATACATCATTATAGGACTTAACTCAAGAAATAAAAATTACATACTCATTTAATATAACTAATTTTATGCAATCTTGAGTCTTGAATCTTTAAAGAACGGTACATGGTGTACCTGAAATATTAGTCAACACACAAATAAATATGCACTACAAACACTAGGAGAAATAAAGGAGTAATCAATATTATTTGTTATCATCAAAATCATAAACTCAAAAGTTAGATTTATAACAAGCGTCCCCTTTTTTATGATGGCAAATAATATTGGTTGAATTTGCAAATTAAAAATATTTTCTCCTAAACTCTCCCTCACTAAAAGAATTACATTAAAAAAATAGGGGAAAGTTTTTTTTTTAAGTTAAATGATGAAAAATAAATGAAACATAAATACAACCAACTATAATACATTCTCCCCCTTCAATATTATTAAAAAGAAGAAATAAAATAAAACATAAAAATAATAACATAATAAAGAAACTAAAACATAAAATTATGCTTAAAATATAATAAAAATTAAACACACAAAGTAAATAAACAAACACATAAAAACACATAAATAAAACACACAAACATACCTTAACATACTTATATCTCGTCGTCCTGCTCTTGTTTTGATGATTTAGAAGCTAGATTTGCCCTAGAGATTTTTTGTTTTTTATCTTTTCCCTATATTACAATTGATTTATTCTTACTCTTTTCCTTCGTAGGAAGAGTTTTTAAGTTGGGGCATTCAAACTTCAAATGTCTAGGTTTCATATAACCAAAGCAAATAAGGTCAGTAGAAATATTAGTATTTTTACCATTTTTATCTTTGTTACACTTTTGTTGATGCTTTTGGATGTGCTTTAGTAGGCTTTCTAATTTGCTTGTTAAGTCATTACTTTCGCCATCTGCTAAGCCACTTTTCTTCGTATCTTCAGTTTTTAGCACTATCGTTTCACCTGTATCCAATAGTCTTTGACCCAAACTTTGCTCGTAGGCAATGAGTGAGCCAATCAAATTATCAATAGAATATTCATTCAAATTCTTCGATTCATAAATAGTAATAACTTTGGCATCAAAGTTATCAAGTAGACAATGTAGAATTTTATTGATTTTTTCAAAGTTTAAAAATTCTTTACCTAAAGCATATAATGATGTCACAATTTAAATAAATCTAGTGTACATATTTAAGATCGCCTCATAAGTTTTCATGTTGAAAAGTTCATAATCATGCATTGGAATATTCAACTTAGATTGTTTAACTTCATTAGTACCTTCGAATGTAATACAAAATCTATCCCAATTTTTTGTGTCAGTAGTATATGTAAAGATTCTCATGCAATCATCAGAATTTAATGCGCAGAAAAAATAATTCAAGCATTTTGTATTTAATTGAGCATTGATTTGTTTTATTCTACTCCATTCAGTAGAAGGAATATTAATTTTGACTCCATCTATCATACGTGATGATACATAATAGCCAGTTTGAATCATGTGCCACATTCGATAATCAATAGATTGCAAAAAAGTAGACATACAAATTTTCCAAAAATAAAAAAAATTCAAAT